AAAAAAAAAAAAAAAAAACAACTACCTCTCAGATTATAATTAGGTCAAGCTTACAGAAGCTGTTATCATACTTTCTAGTTAAAAGGTAGTCAATTTCATAAAAAGTAAAAAAAAAAATTGTCCTTTAATGATGTGAAAGGACAAATTAATGAAGCATTTACAAAACTTTTTGTCACAGCTTGATGGCTTCTTTAAAGTTACATCAAAGGTGGGATGACTCAGCTGAGAATTATTTATTTAGTACTAAGAAATCTTCGAGTAATACATCAATTTAATATGATTAAATTACTCTCCAGGAGGAATCTAGTGAGAAAAATACTACTGGAAATGTTTTTACTGTAAGAATTTGTATTATGTAAGTACCTATGAACACCATATTTATTAGTTATAGTGAATAATATTAACTTTTATAGACATTCAAAACTGTAATCATATTTTAAAATACATTGGCTATATTAATCATGTCTAAGTGAATTTTCATGAAAATAGAATAAACTAAATCATGCATTATTCTGGTGTTATCAACAAATGTAAGAAAGTGAGATCCAAAAATCTTCTCTGCATGTTAAAAATGTAAATTTTCACATAGTTTGGAAAGTTACATAAAGACTGCAGTATCATTTTTCTAGTAACATGATCCCATGAGATTCTGTTTTTTAAGATCGGGTATGTGGACCAAAAACATATAAACTTTTGTGAGCTAATATTCACCAGAAAGAAAATATTTATATCTCCTGAAGGTTATATTTTTAAAGTATATATCATTACCCTTAGAGAACAGTTAACAATAGTTCAAGAACTGGAAAGTCTAACACACAAAGCTAAAGGTCCATGCAAAGAGAAACATATCTGCTTATAAAGAAGATCACTTTGCATTAAGTAGTTTATCACATAATTTAATATGTGTGTGTTTGTTCCATGATGTCTTGAGGATATATTGTTGGAGCAGATTTCTTCAATGTTTAATGTCACACTGATGAAACCATTCACAGATGGCATGAAATAACTCATAGTAGAAGTTCAAGGGTAAAAGCAAAAGGTCTTTTGTTCTTTAAGAGAATTTTAATTTCAGTCTTCTGGGTTCAATGTTCAACAAATCAAAAAGGTAGTTAATTGATTTCACAAATCCTTTTTTCTTCCCAGCAAAACCAACTTCTAGAGCTCTATAAATTATATGCTCTTTTATTTCTTGGGGAAGTAATTGAGGTGACAGCCACTAAGCTGTCCTTGATTGAAACAGAGAAATGAACACAAATCAGGTTAATCATGACAGAATATTATCCTCATAGCATTCACTTAAAAAGCTGCACTATTACCACTATCTCTTCTCTAGATTAACAAGTAGACTCATCATTGTATTGATTTAAAAGTTTTCCTTCTCTTCACAGATCTCTCAGTAAGTATTCCAGTCCTTAAGTCTCTGTAGTACCCCAATTTACATATTACCATAACATGCTCAATCCACATAATTTTACTTATAGGTATATATCTTCAGTATCAACACCATTTGATATTGGATTGCCAATTGGTGAGTTCTTTCCTGGTAAAGATTATTTCTCCTATTCTCAGTTTTCCTTACTTTCCTGAGTTCCAAGGCAGTGTAAACTATATGTTTAATACAAAATATAGCAATGATGCTCATAGTGCTTTCAGTAAGCAGCCATCCATCCATTGGCCAATGTAACATCAAAGTTCAGCCTACGTCAACTTTATGGAAAATGTTGAGTCAAATCTGGCACTGGAAAGATGGTTCCATTGGCAAGTATGTTCCAATTGAGCATCCAAATAAAATCTCCATACAATTTCTTGGGCCAACCATTCCAGTACTCAGAAGCAGAAAGGGTAGGGACCAATTGAAAACTGAATATTTCTGTTCACATAGCCTAGAAAATTGATGTGCTTCATGATTGATATGAAATCATGTCTTAAAAAATAAGGTGGAGAGAGACTGAATAGGGTATTTGACGTGAAACGATAGCCTCCACATTATTCCTCTATCACAAAGTCTATAGTACTTAGTAGTCATTCAATTTTTTGAACTTCTTGTTTTGTTATAATAAATGACTATATTGAAATAGTAACAAAAAGACTTACAGTTATAAAAAGTCCAGGGCCAGATGGATTCACAGAAGAATTCATGAAGATTTTCAAAGAAGATCCACAGGGAATACTTCTTAAAGAAATAAAACAAAAGAAAAAAAAACATAAAACAGAGGAAGTACTCCCATCCTAACTTCTTATAAAAGTCAGTAACACTTTAATACTAAAGCCAGGTAAATACACAGCAGAAAAGAAAACAAAATAATACAAAAAACATACTGGCCAATATTCCTGATGAACAGTCCTCAAGGGCATAGATCAAAATGCACAATAAAATACCTGCAACCAGAATAACTAAATGCATCAAAAAATATTATCCACCATAACCAGGTTGGTTTTATCCTTTGTACACAGTGATGAGTCAACATAAAAAGTCATTATATGCAATAAGCCACATAAATAAATGTAAAGGCCCATGATCATCTTAAGGTAAAGAAAAGTATGTTGACAAATTCTAACATGCTTTCTTGATAAAGACCTGGATAATGTAATACTACAGTGAGAATACCTTCACAAAACAATATATGAGAAGCTCACAGCCTACACCATTCTAAATGGAGAAAAAGTAATCTGAGAGAAGTCAGGATCAATATAGAGCTGGAACCAAATGCAAGAGAAGAAAAGTGAAATGATACAAATAGGAAAAGAAGTCCAATTATCCTTATTTTCAAATAGTATGATATTATACATTAGAGAACACAAATGTTCTAACAGAAAACTTCTACCAATGATGAACAAAGTCAGTAATATAGCATGTTACAGGATCAAATTGCATTAAATCAATAGCTCTATACAAATAAAACACAAAGAAAAGGCATTCATGGACACACTCCAATCAAAATATATTAAAAGAAAATACAATATCTCAGAATAAACATAACCAAAAAAGTGAAGGGCATCTACAATAAAACTTTAAACATCTTAAGAAAGAGAGAATAAAGACACTAGAAAATGGAGAGACATCCATGCTCAAGGACTCAAGGAATTTACAGAGTGAAAATGACAAGGTCATTGGATTTATTTATTTATTTTCCCAAATTGATTCTTTAAAATAAATAATTATATATCATATTCTTCTGCATTTTCTTTTAATTCTTTATAATATATTCTTGCTCTAGCTCTTCATTTGTGGCTATAGATTCAACTTTCTTAATTTATATGAAATGAAAAGATGGGTTTGAATGGCATTTAACTATTTTTATTTTAATATTCAGTATTTACTTAGCTATTTTTTATAAATGTTAAGATTAATTACAACTGTTTTTATCATTGATGGTTTTGATTAATGTCCATGATGTATTTCATGTGGCCAGCATTTGAATTTCAAGCATTCAATAAGTGAGTTTGTTTTGTCATTTCTTTTTTCATAGTGAAAACTTATATCAAGAATGGTGTTATACCATTCAAGTGTATGAGTTTCTTTACCAGGACAGCATTTTCTCAAAATTTTGAAATTGTTCAATAGTTGGAAAGGAAATCTAAGTTTCAGAGTAGCTCTTATTTTTAATTCTCTCATTGAATTTTCATAAATTTTACATGAGTTTGAAGACCATCCTTTAAAAAATATTATTCTTTGATAAAATTTTGTGTATTTTACTTGAAGATTTTGTTTTTGTTTTTGTTTTTCAAGACAGGGTTTCTCTGTGTAGCTTTGCGCCTTTCCTGGAACTCGCTTTGTAGACCAGGCTGGCCTCAAACTCACAAAGATCAGCCTGCCTCTGCCTCCCAAGTACTGGGATTAAAGGCATGTGCCACCACCTCCCGGCCCTTGAAGATTTTTATTGCATTTTTTTTTTTTTTACTTTTAGAAGAAATTCATACGTTAATAAAATGTGTCATTTGTCCATAATATATGCCACCAATTTATTTTCAAGTTACATCTTTTCCTGATGAAATTACTGATTTCCCTGGCCATGCTACACTGAATATCTTCCATTATATATTTTATGATGGCTAGTTTTGTGACAACTTGACATTAACTTGAATCTGTTTAAAAGAGGGATCCTGATCAGCTTGTGGAAATGCTTCTTGATAGATGACTGATACGCAAGGACTCTGCTCACTGTGGGTGTTATCATTGTTGGTTGCTATGAAAAAACATTCAGACCCAACCATGGGGATCAAATCAATAAGCAGAACTTTGTAGCATGAATCTTAAAAATCCTTATTAATAAAATCAAACCTGAGGCCAGTTATTGGAGTGAACTGGAAGATCAGAGAACTAGAAAAAGCCACAGCTACCTCACCTCGCCAGATCCTCAGCTGGTCTTGTTTCCTCAGACTGGAGGCCTCTCAGAATGGGTCTCAGCTGAACTGCTGCTAGAAGCCTGAAAGCTTAACCAGCCAAATGCTTAACCAGCCAAATGTTTCTAGTTTCTGGTCCTCATGCCTTATATACCTTTCTGATTTCTACCACCACTCCCTGGGATTAAAGGCTTGCTTTCTGGGATTAAAGGCATGATGAGTCACCATGCCATTCTGTATCCTTGAACACATGGATTTCTGCCTCTGGAATGCTAGGATTAAAGGCATGTGCTACCACTGCCTATCCTTTATGTTTAATATTGTGGCTGTTCTTTCTCTGACCCCAGATAAGTTTATTAGCATGCACAATATTTGGGGGAATACAATACCACAGAACTTCCTCATGGCTTCTGTATCCATATTGTCTCGAGTTTCCTACCCTGCTTTTACTTCCTGCCCTGCTTAAGTTTCTATTCTTATCTCCTTCAGTAACAGACTATCATGTAGAAGTGTAAACAAAGTAATACCTTTCCTCAAGTTACTTATGGTAATAAAGTTTTATCATAGAAATAGAAGCCCTAAGTAAAATATACTCGAATTGTTCTTTCCTTCTAAAACAATTTTTATCATGGTGCAATTTAAATGTTTTAATTTATAACTGGAGTATGATGTGATTTAATCACATCTTGTGTATTGTACTTTAATATTTTTAAGATTTATGTAACTGATCTCTATGAAATATATTCTGGTGTTATTGAATTGTATTGTACTTCATTGTCTGACCTTTAATTGTGTCATGATTTGAAAGAAAATGGACACCATAGAGTGTGGCACTATTAGCAGTTGTGGCATTGATGGAGCAAGCCTTGTTGGAAGAAGTGTGCCACTGTGGGCATAGGATTCCAGGTCTCCTATGCTCAAGCTACACCCAATGGGGGACACAGATAATGTTCTTATATGTAGATCAATATGTATAACTCTCAGCTCCTTCTCCAGCACCATGTCTGCCTCCATACTGCTATGTTCCACCATGATAATAATGGACAAAACCTTTGAAACTGTAAGCCATACCAACCAATGAAATGCTTTCTTTCATAAGAGTTGTCATGATGTCTCTTCACATCAACAGAAATCCTAACTAAAACATCCCACCAATGTTTTTTGTCAGATATCTAGATTTATCCAAAAGTTTTGTTAGTAATTATTTTAGATTTGTAATACATGTGCAAATTAACTTACTAAGAAAAACATAGTTATAATATATTCTTTTCATGGGTGCCATGTTTTCATGTATATTTTATTGTTGTTAAATTTTATTTCAACCTTTGTACAATACATAGGTTTGCAGCTTTTCTAATAAGAAATGATTTTTTATACTCTTTTAAGTCATATGTTGCCCTATTCACATTTAAGGGAAACTCATTTCCTCTCTATATTTTCTATGACTAACCCATCTTTGTGATGACTCTGTCTTTGGCATTGCAGTCACCCACATATTTGGAGTACTGTAGCTTAAACTCTGATGTTGCTGGAAATTTAAGGTGTTGGTGTTCTGCCATTATTTAGTAAGTGTGACAGGCACTGTAACACGTTCATTACCTCTTTTCTAAACTCTTAGATAGTGGCATTGTTGTAGCTAGAGTTTTCCTGCCTGGCCCACAGTGAGGACAAATCTCTGTCACCCGCCAGTCCCACAGCCACTCAGACCCAACCAAGTAAACACAGAGATTTATATTGCTTACAAACTGTATGGCTGTGGCAGGCTTCTTGCTAACTGTTCTTATATCTTAAATTAATCAATTTCTATAAATCTATACCCTGCCACGTGGCTCATGGCTTACCGGTATCTTCATATGCTGCTTGTTATGGCAGCTGGCAGTGTCTCCCTCTGCCTTCCTGTTCTCTCAGTTCTCCTCCCTGTTAGTCCCGCCTATACTTCCTGCTTGGCCACTGGCCAATCGGTGTTTTATTAATTGATGAATCAGAGCAATTTGACATACAGACCATCCCACAGCACATTGTTTCTTCTACTCTCTTGATCAGTTGTTTTTTCAACAGTTAAAAGGCTTAGCATATTTCTTTACACCATTTGTGTAAATTAGTAAGGAGCATTCAAAACAAGGTTATAAAATAAAATTCAAAACTATTCCTTTAGTTTTTATTCAACAAACATATATTTCTTTCTTTTGATATTCAAGGAAAAGTGCTGAAGAGAGGAAAAAAGGATGGTATGAGGCAGAGGATTAGGATGACAGATGAAAAACACAATTTTCTGAACACAACAAGGATGATGTGTCCATGAACTCCCAACAGCTGTGGTTGCTTGCAAAAACCTGGACAAGATCAAATCTGCCAACATTTCATGATGTATGGGTAAAGCACTCTCAAGTCTCTGCTACTAGGTAAGGAGCTACAGTTGTTCTATGACAGTTAGGAAAATGGAGAGTCAGTTTTCCTCTCAGACATAGTCACTGGCATCGATGTGCATATGGACACAACTAATTATACTCTGTAGGTTCTCTTTCTGTCTCTGTGTGCCTATCTGTATCTCTGTCTCTGTGTTCTCATCTCTCCCTCCTCCTTCTCCTCCACCCCTTCCTCCCTCCCTCTCTCCTCTCTCTCCCTCTTTCCTCTATCTCTGTAGTGGTTGAAATAATCATAGTCTAACATAGCATCTGGAATTTGAATTCTTGGACTTCAGTTGGTGGCACTGTGTGAGGACACTTAAAAAGAACAGCTTAGATAGAGAAGTCTGTCTCTGGTGGCAGAACTTGATAGCTTAATGCCTTACCTGTTACCAGTTATTCTGTCTTTGTGTCATGTTTTTATCTGAAGATGTGAGCCCTCTGTTTGATATTCTTGCCACAGTATCTGGAACTTTTACCATGTTGTCCCAACGTGATAAACTCTTATTTCTCTAGAACAGTTAACTGAATAATATATTTTCTTTTATAGTTTTTGATGGACATTTTTATTTACAGAAAACAGAAAATAGCTAATACAGAAGTTGATACCAAAATTGGGACAAGGCTGTCAAAAACCTGATCATGATTTTTTTTTGGGGGAGGAGAAATATGGAAAGCTTTGGAATTTGGACTGAAAAACTAATTGGCTGATATAAGTCGAGCTTTAATATCCATTGTCATAAGAGACTGGAGGTGTGTAGTCCTGAGAGCATTGTGGTATGTGGATGCCCATCTCATGAGATTTAAGAAGGCAACAATATTAGAAACTGGACTAAAATTCAATGCTGTGATATTTTGGTAAAGAATCTGGCTGCCTTCTGGACTTGACCTAAGTACTTCCCTGAGTCTAAATTACCACAGTATGGTAATTTGTATAGCAGTGGGAAATTCAAAACAGCCGAATGTTGACTCTATAATGTGGTTGATACTGGTAATGCTTATACATGTTTACCATGAGAAAAGGACAAGTGGAGCAGAAAGGAAAACAGGTGTAGTTTGGAAAGGTAAAGAATGCTATGAAGCTTAATGTTATAGCCAAGTTGTTTCCTGGAAAGAGTTGCTACTACTATGCTTCAAGGTAGCCAGGGTCCATTGCAAGATGCCAAGAGAACTTGCCAATTTTGTGATAGCTTTTGAGGCAGGGAGGATGCAAGAATGAAGGACTTGAAATTTTTTTCCATGGCTTAAGCAAGCTAATAAGCACAGATACCTTGTAGTAGAGGAGTCTTATTTACCTCAAACTTTACAACTTTCAGAAACAGTCTCTGCGTTAGTTATTTCCCCATTATTGTGATGAAACAGCTGATAAAAAGCAACTTAAAAGATGAAAGATTTATAATCTCTCATTATTACATTAGATACATTCTCTCATGACCACAAAGGCATGGTGCCTTTAGTTCTATACCAAAATTGTATGCTGCAAGCATTTCACAGGTCTTCACATATCATAAAAAGTTACAGGAGAATGGGGGTGAGACTTTCTCTTTTTCTACTTTTTACTCATTCTGAATTGCCAGACTATAAGATGAGACATTCCTGGAGAGTCTTTCTCCCTCAGTTAATTTTCTTTGTAAATCTCCTCATAGACACACGCACAGAGAACATTGCCTCACAATTGTCTGTATATCCAGTGGAGTTGACAATGGAAATTAACCATCACACTTTCTTTAATTGGGATAGAACTATCCTAAGGCTCTTTTCAAAAATTTCTTCTTTCTTCTGAGCTATAAGAGTAAGAAAAAAAGGTTCACTTAATTGCAGAGAGATGTGTCTTAATTAAGGGAAACCTGTACAGTGATATTAAGGAAAAACAATTATATAACGGCTCTCAAATTTTAGTTTCATAAACTTTGGCCCTTTAAATAGAAAAAAAATATGACAAACATGACAAGATGATTATATGTGAAGTACAAAGTACAGGATAGCTATAAACTCTTGTTGGCCCTGATTCTATTTTTCATCTGATATATTGACACTTCTCATTTCTCATCTGACATACCTCATGGTATTCATGACAATTCAATGATTGAAAACAAAATTCTTTTCTCTCATTGGCCCAAGTAATAAGGAAAGGAACACAAATTATATCTCCCCCTATGCCTGAGGGAATAGAACATACTGGTGTCCACCACTTCCTGTCAGTTACTCAGAATGGAATCTTCTCTACGAAAAGAACACTGTCATTATCATGTACATTTTTCTCTTCTCTTTAAGAATCCTCAGATCACAAATGGAATTCTTGGAAAATGTCTCAAACAGCTAGGAGAAACCCAGTGCATCCTTAAACTAAATCATGGTTAAACTAGTTTCTATTAATGAATTTTCTTACATATTCATTGAGACTTCTAGTAAAAAATGAAGATCTGCTGATTATCATTTGGCTTGTCATTATCTATCTTTGGATCATATCATTTAGCTTGAAAAGGTTAATTGGCAGTGAGTCATGAATGATTTTATAAAGTAGGTAATTTCAATCATCTGACTTTCTGACTATACTTAGTTTCTGAAGTGCATCACTTTTCCCTTTCTTTCCTATCATTCTCCTTGGTTCTAACTAGTGCTTGAGAAAACCAACAATAAATAAGTTAGTCAAGATAAATATCCAAGACACATAATACTGTTTAAAAATATATTTATACATTGATAAATTGAGTTGTTCACAATATATTCAAAGGCTACTTTTAGAAATACCAATATACTACTTGTATTTTTTTAAAAAGTAGTTTTTGTTAACAAATGATGTTTGAGAAATGGTCTCACTTAGTAGCTCAGGCTGCGCTGTAATTCATTATGTATTCATATCAAAGTTAAGCCTCAACTTCATGGTAAATCTTTCTTCTCAGCCTCATGTGTGTTGATTACAGTTTTTAGCCACCATACTCAGATGGTAAAGAGTTTTTATATATAATTAATGACTTATATTTTGTGTTGTATCTCTTGTAATATAATAATATTCATTATATTAAGGATTTTGATATGATATTACATATTTACAATTGTAAAGTAATTCAGAGGACACCATCTCTTTTGATAACAAGGACTTCCTTGTATTGAGACATTATTGTAGCTAGGGTTTTCCTGCCTTGCCCACAGTCAGGACAAATCTTTGTCACCTGCCAGTCCCACAGCCGCTCAGACCCAACCAAGTAAACACAGAGACTTATATTGCATACAAACTGTATGGCTGTGGCAGGCTTCTTGCTAACTATTCTTACAGCTTAAATTAATCCATTTCCATAAATCTATACCTTGCCACGTGGCTGGTGGCTTACCGGCATCTTCACATGCTGCTGGTCATGGCGGCTGGCAGTGTCTCTCTCCTCAGCCTTCTGCTTCCCAGAATTCTCCTCTCTCTTTGTCCCACCTACTTCCTGCCTGGCCACTGGCCATTCAGTGTTTTATTTATTGACCAATCAGAGCAACAGATTTGATATACAGACCATCCCACAGCACATTATATTGTATTTTGCATTGGAATTTTGTTTGCTTTTATCCAATTGAACAGCTGATGATTCATATACAAAGTATTTATAGTAAATTCAAGGTGCAGTACAAATAAATTTAATGTAAACATGGCATCTCTTAGAAAAGATTAGTAGAGACTATCTCACTTAATAATATCAGGAGTGTTATATTAGTTACATCTAGTGAGGCATGCTGAGATTCAGTCTCAATTACATATTCAGAAAGCTTTACCTAAGCCATAATTACTGAAAGTAATTATTAGCACAGACAGCGTAACTTTTCTTATGATACTTTCTATACATGAGAAGTTCATGAGAAAGTCTGAGTTCTTTTATTTTCATGTTTCTGCCTTTTAATAATTAGTAATATGATTAGTTTTTCAAATAAATATTTATTTAATTCAAATGTAGTTTTCAATTTCTATAAAATACAAATTAATACAAAGTACAACTAGAAAACACATGTTAAGGCTGTTTTGTTCCTTTATTCTAAATTAACTACAGGGCACTAGTGTCTGTCAAGTTTCTCATATTCAGTAGTTTATTGTTTACTTACCCTTTTATTACAACTAAGGGAACAGTAAACTCAGAAATATAAAATAAATGTTTTGAATAAATATACAGTTACAAATATTCACGGTCATTTGAGTGATTGTTTCATTCTTATCTGTTTTTAGCAGGCTCTGTGTTTAACTAATTTTGCCCTCAAAGAGTGGATATGTGATTTCTCTAACACATTCATTAAATAATTATCTTATTATTTTATACATTTCATAAGACAAATGATAACTTTTCTGTTAAAATAAAAATTAATGTTTTTTAGTAAGCCCATTAATCTGTGAATGTCATATATTGCTGCCTGGTAAATTACTTTAAACTGTGTAATTCAAAATTCCCCCTATGTATGCTCTCACTGAATCTGCTAGGCATGACATTATCAGGGATTGAGTTGGGCAGATTAACCGTGGAATAAAAAACAAGGTCAGTATTCTCATCTGGAGCAACAGTGGTTTCAAACCCCAAGATGGACTTTCACAGACAAAAGATCACTCATCCAATGGTGCACAAATTTAAGTTCCTCACAGGCTCTGTTTGAGGCTTCAGTTCCTCACAGCATGTGCCTCTTCGCATGCCTGCCTAATACATCACTTATTTCACTGAGAGAGAGCTAGGGTAGAAAAGAGAGAGAGAAGAGATTGATTCTGCCTTTCCTGTTTAACAAACCTTGTAAAATATATGAGACTTCAAACATTCTCAATGATAAGGAGCAGGTTTCATTGAAGACCTCACTGAAGTATGGGTAGCTCAGTCTTTTCTAGCCTCAATGATTTACATATCTGCTATCAATAAAATATAGCCACCTTCTCATAAATCATTGCTAAAATCTCATTCAATCATCAGCTCAAGTCTAGACTCTTGTTGCTGTATCAAGCCTAGTAGTAGATTGGGCTACATTTATATTTTGATCTTTAAATAAAACCATTACCAAAATAAATCTCACAACAGGAAAGGGTTGCCCTAAACTATGAAATTACCAGGACAAGTTGTTTTACCACAACTCACTCAATTTATAATGGTGTAGCTGAAATAGCTAACCTTTCTCTTCCTACCAGTAGAATTTTGGTGGTGATGTTAGTTTGTTTTTGTTTTTGTTTTATTGCATTATTTTGCCCAAGTTCAAACTAGGAACATTGACAAGTATAGAATCTCCTAAAAATGCCTATGAAATTTATTGATGGTCATGTTACTCAATCAGTGTCTGACAACATTCTCTTGATAATAATCCAATCACTACCTTGAGGAGGCAGTATGGCAGTGAATAATACTGAAATCAAAATTCCTGGGTGAAATGATACATGAGTTACCTGTTTTATTCTCCTTACAGACACTTTGTCATCCATAAAACTTTGATTTTTCAGGGAACTCAATTAAAAATTTTAAGGTCTCTTCAACTTTACATATGCATTGTTTTCTTAGTATCTTGAATTGAATTGATACATTCTAAGAATTTAACCTTCTTTTTTAACAGAAAAGATTGAGAATTTTCTAAACCACTAAGTATGTAAGTTCAAATAGCTTTCCCTTTGTTTGTTTGTTTTTCCTCATTTCTCTCTCATGTTGTAATAAACCAGCCTGCCTCCATCTTAGTCTTAAAAGCTATCTTATGATAAAAACTAACTAGATTTATTTCTGTTTTTTTTTTAATCTATTTATCAAGAATTGGGCTATTCCCCATCTGTAAACTTTACTACAAATGTTTCTGTACTATTTGTTTCAGGAGACAGCAACCATGCCTTTGTTTCAAAAGGTTATTATGACCACATTGATATGACTACCTTGTTAGGATAACCTTGTTGTGAACACCTTGCAACCTTGTCTTGGTTTCATAAGGGTTGTTATGACTAACTTTTTGTATTTATGTTCTGCTCCTGTAAGCCCACCTACTTTCCTTCCAGATCCCCCATTTGAAAACCCTCTACTCTTGAACTCTAATAAATCCTTATCTTACCTATGTTCAATGTTAATTTTTTGAACCCTACTTTTAGGGAAAGACAGCATGTATGAAAACAAACAAACAAAAAAAAACCTTGCTTTAATTATTTTGGCCATGATAATTTAGGTGGTGGTCTTTTTTCATGTCTGCGGGATTAAGAGTTACTATTTATTTCAAGATAGGGTCTCAGGTAGTCCAGCTTTTCTTCAAACTCACTCTGTAGCTAACGCTGATCTTAAACTTCTGGTCTTTCTCCCTGTTTCCAATGTACTGGGATCACAGGGGTGCATCACCACCCAGCCTCATATATTACTGGAGAAGAGCTAAGGCAGCAATTTAGCAGTTTAGATTACAGATGAACAGACAAAGATCCATGGATCATTGCCTATCTCTTCCTCCCCGTATTTCACGATAAACAGAAAGAAATATTCAGGGTGGCCTTATGGTTAATATTTTGATTATTTGTATGAACAGCCTTTTATTCAGAAATTTTGGTTTCTTCATACTTTAGCACACCATCTACTGAGCCTCTACTGCTGTCAGACAAAGGTTTCCTTTGCTCCAGATTCTAGTCAACTATTCAGTTCTTGTGAACATGTACCAGAAATACTTTCAATGCCCATATTTCTAACCATGATGTGTGTATAAAATAATTTAACAGTTCTCTGGGGGAGATTACTTTCAATACTGACTTCACTTCATACAGCTGTCAGACTTAAGAGACCATTGGTATAATTATGTATCTAAAGAAATGGGATCTCTGGTTATCACTGTCATCAGACTTTACTAGCCAATAGCTATTTCTCAATTTCAAAATCAATTTTCCACTTTTAAATATTTTAAATAGCACATAGTTTGTAAAAACCATACTAACTTTCAAGGTCTCCAGTTCTGAACTCAACAGACTTAGTGATTTAAAAGAATATGATCTCACAGTTTGGGAAACAAAGTGAAAACCCTTTGTCACTGAACTAATATCTACAGGGAATAAATAAATCCAGTACTCATTCAGAAGCTCAAGGAAGAATCTGTTGTGCTGTCTTTTCTAGTTCCATTTTCCATTATTTAAGCCACTTATGACCAGTCAAATATTTCTTTTTTTTAAATATTTTTATTTCATAATTAACTTAATTTCACATATCAGCCACAGATTCTACTGTCCTCCCTCCTCTCACCTCCA